AATGGCATTAATTAAATCATACTCTAATTAAAAATTTTAAACTTAAAACTTCGATATTGGAAACTCCTCTTGATCCCAATTTCTACCTCCCATCATCTTTGGTTTTTTTTTACTAAGATGAAGACTGATTTTCTAACTCCTTTTTTTCTCTTCCTTTTTAATGGGTTGACGGGCAGCACAAGGGAGAATGGAGAATATGGAGAAGAAATATTACAGAGTGGTGAAAAACAAGAATGCAAGTAAGAAACCAGCTGAAAACAGCATCAGCAGCAATAATAATTGCAATTATTCATCCTGGTCACCAGTTTCAGATCTCAAATTATCACCACAAACTGGAGATCAAGATGTTAAAAAACAGTACGACAAACTCCTCAATGCCCCCAAAACGACAAGTCGTTTGCCGGTATTCAAACAAATATGCTCCATGAAAACTGAAGACCATATATAATATATTTGCACAAAAAATAGTTTTTGGGAAAACATGCATATAATTGCATATATCTATATCCTACTTTCCAAACAGAATCATATAGCAATAGCAAGCAAATCTATATATTGATTTGAGAATTGAATTTGCCCCTTCCGAGTTCCTGTACAAGAAAAGTTATTTTATTTTTCTTTTTTTAATATAATATATTAAGCTTTGGCATGATCTCATTGGTTTAATTTCTTTAATCATGATATCTCTTTATTTAATATATATGTGAAGTTGAGCTAAATGTCAGCCCTATCATAGGATATCACTTCACATATGGCTCCAAAGATACATGATTTTCACTTTTAAACACCCCAAGTCTTGATAATTGAGTTATTATGCATAATAACTCAATTACATCACTCGATTAATAAATGAAGGAAAAGAAAAAAGAGAGTAGTAAAAAATTCAACCATAAAAATTAAGCAATTCACACAATATTTTTATTGGTAGCCCACATCTCCATTATACTTTTTAACTTCAAATCAAAGCCTAAAGCAGCTGATTTAAACACGATTGTAATTATTAATATTTGAGTCTGTTATAAAATTATACAACTTTAATTACATAATTAAAGGAAAAACAACCAATCATTATCCAAGTTCTTCCCTCTCCAAATAAAAAAGTAACAAAAAAAAAGGAGGGAGGGAACATGTAAAAGAAAACGAGAGAGATGTACGTGTGAAGGGATAAGACGAAAGGAAAAAGGAAAAATATTTAAGTCATGACCGGTGAGAGAACCTATCTTGTGTTCACCACCACTAAATATTTGACAACTACGAGAGAAATATAAAAGTAATTAACTTTTTTAAAATTAGCTGTCAAATTTCAATAGTGGTTAGTACAAATCAGATAGGTTCTCACTATTTAAGACCAGAGCATTTTCCAAAATAGTATGTAGAAGAGAGAAAGTCAAAGGGTAGTAGTAGAAGAGTAGGGCGGAGAAGAGCGGTGGAAAGTGGAAGGCCAAGTGGCATGAGGGTGAAATGTTGGATCATTGCAATAAACCAAGAAAGGGCTCTCATGGTTGTGAACTCCTTCATATGTTGTAATAACATAGCTTGAATCATCCCTGTCTCTCTCTACTCTCTTCTTCACTCCACAACCTCCACTTGAGCATTTGTAGTAATTCCTAACAATTGCACATTACATCCAAAATCAAAATCATCAATAAACTTCACAAATATTTATCATTTACAACACCATATATATATATACATATTAAACGGATCGACACTACCATATAGTTCAAATCATTGCATTCTTAAGATATAATTTTTAATCTTCTTATACTACTCTACACTTATATCTTGAAATATATATGAACCAAAGTTTTCTCTTTCAAATGTACCGTTTTCACTTTCCACATAGTTATGTTTCTAGGAATTATAACACATACACAACGAAATAAAAGATGGATATTTTTTTAGAGTAGTTTTTAAGATTTTACATCATATTTTATTTAATTTAGGCATGGTGGCAAAACTTAATTAAATTACTATCATATATCTTTTAAGTTGTTATTATCCATACATTAAACTCCACATTATCCATACAAGTAAAACAAGAACAAAAAGTAAAGCATATTAGTTTGGTCTTAAAGGTAAGTGAAGTGATATAAAAGAAGACTATAATTAATAGAATAATATCATAAATAAATATTGGAGTTTCCACTTCTCCCTCCAATCATCATCTTCATGACACATTCAACTTTCCACCACTATATAAACCTTTACCACACTCCAATCATCATCTTCATGACACATTCAACTTTCCACCACTATATAAACCTTTACCACACGTTCTTAATTCAAGTGTATCTAGCCGCATCTCTCTCTTCCTAGAAATATGTAATTTTTTTTTTAACTCAACATACTTATGATTTAAAGTTTTGATATTTTAGTAAAAATAAATGTCTTTAACTAACTTAACTAGGATGTGTATTATTTACCTTGGATTAGGGCTATCCTTGACAGATTTCTTGCCATACTTTCTCCACTTGAAGCCATCATCCAAAATCTCCAGCTCCGACTTGGTTCTAAATGCAACCCTATTGCTGCACCCACCTCCTCCCTCTTTTTTTCTCTTCACACCCTTCGTCTCGCACCACTCCTCTCTGCAAAAACACACACAAATATATATTAATTATGAAAACTTTAACAATATGATATATATGTATAAATACATGCATGGGGTTTATTAAAATTATTAACTATATGCAAGATAAAGCTATAATTTTTAATTTCACTTGCATGGTATTATTGTCTGTGAAAGTTGCTTCCGTCGTCATGGGTATGCTCCGCCTGCCGATTCTCGCCTCCGGCAACGTCATCGTTTCGGCTTCTTCGACAATGAAATCGGGTGGCGGGTAACCCGAGAAATCGAAGAAATCCATGAATGAGGAGGAGGAGTCCTGAAAGTGATGGTGATTGAGGCAACTAGGGTTTTGAGGGGAGTTCATGGCGCTTAGGAGAGAAGAAAAATGGGCAAATGGGGAGGGAGCCAGTGGAAGGGAGTTGCTTTGTTGAATTTTCTTTGCTTTATAAAGTCATTTTAGGGAAAAAACGTTAATTAATCTTATTTCGTTCATTTTCAATGGTGGCTGTTTCCTACTCACCTTCCTTTCTTGCTGCCTACCAGGAAGGTTCTTCCCCTTCACACGTGGCAGCATCTTACGACGTACTGTGACGTCATCTATGTGATGCCACTTCGGGTTTGGAGCTGGACCCATCCGCCTTCAAATTCTTGTTTCCTTCTTTCTTTTTTGGATTTATTGTTTAAAGAAAAATAAATTACAATAACTTGAGTTTTTCATTGGTTTACTCCTGTCTAATAGATTTATATCATAGATTTAATTATTTTATAATAGCAAATTTGAACATAATTCAACAAATTAATGCACCTGAATCAAACTAAAATATCGTGAATTTGAACCTGAACCTTCACATGTTGTATTAAAAAAATGTTTATATAATATATATTGTTTATATTATTTAAGGATTATATAATATATTGATTTCAAGTCGTGCCCACATTTTATAATATAAATATACTAACCATCATGAGTGGTTCATTGGTCCAAAGGAACTAGGATTAATTAAAAAGGAATGAGCTCAAATCTCATGTGGCCATCAACCTTATGAATTAGTTTCTCCGGCACCAAATGTTGTAGGATCAGACAGTTTTCTATAAGATTATTCGAGGTGCACGTAAACTGATCCGGACGTTCACTGATATAAAAATAATAATAATGTAAATATACTAATCGAGTTAATAAATAAACCTATTCAATAGAGAGAGAAAAAAATTAGATTAAGAAAAAAAGTGGTGGAACCCACCATTTGAATGGGAATTTCCTTCCGTCCTACCAAGAGGAATCACAACTTTGATTTTTCTCTGTGTTTGGTTAATTTTAGTAAACACGCAATCACGAGAGAAATTTTTAGTTCATCTTATAAACTTCTTCCCTTTTTTTGCTTAAATTGACGCACTCTCATTCCTGTTAACTAATGATATTTAATTTTTAGAAATTAGTCTATTGCAACGTGCTTTTAATATAGATGACGTTTTGACAGTGAATTTTATTAATAAAATAATTTAACAACCCATATAATACTTTATATTTATAGCATACTATATTTGATTTTTTGGACTAAATTATACATGATATATGAAATCGATGTCGTGTGGCTCTTTTTTTGAACTGAACAACACTGTGACCAACATAAGTATTGAATCCAATACCTCACAGCAAGTGATATCATAAAGTTCAAGACTCTCTCGGTGCTATCTCGAGGAAACATATATGATTCAATAACTATATGATATGAAGCAACCTAAAAACACATACCGTTTTAAGGAAAAAAAATACATGCACCCACTTGCCAAATTATTTAATATTAGATTTTAAGAAACAACTTAGTATTTTTATTATTATTTTCTTTACAATAATTTTTGTTGGTTGACATTAGCAAAACTCGTCCCAATATCCAAAAAAAAAAAAACGTTAAACAAAAATAAGAATGGTTTTAAAAGATTGAATTAATCTTGTTTTTTTAGTGCAAAGATTATATTGCACTAATTATCACAACCATAATAAACAATAGAGGTGTACCAATCAATTTTTAGATTATCTAATAAGTATAAATTAATTATTAGGTAGATCAAGCCAATTGTCTCATTTCAAGATTTTTTAAGAGTTTGTTTCACATTTAAGAAAATAAATGGACTAAAAAAAGAACTATTGTAGCTTAATACAATATGTTATTGTTGCATAATTTAATTAATTAATTATAACATGTAAATCTTATGTGCCTAGGCCTATTGTTGAGATCATGCCCTACTTTTCCATGATAGAGATATCTTAAAATATATTTAACTAATCATATCTACTTTCTTATATTTGTAACATGAGAATGTAATATAGCTACCTTTTGTTTTTAATTATAGCCTTCTCATTCAATTTGGCCCGAACACCCACAAATATCAGAGAAAAAAATTATAGTCGTGTTATCTTATATATATATATATACTGTTTAGGAAAAAAAAATACCCCTTTGACGTTTTCAAGAGAAGTTTATTTTGTACTTGAGAAGTAATTCGTATAGTTTTCACTTAAATTAAATATACTAATCTACTGAAGATTAATCCAAACAAATTCATAATTGTTTTGGGTTAGGTGGGTCAGATTTACTAGTATCTTAACCAATTAAATTATATTATTAAAAAAATTCACAAGTGAAGTGGGTAGCAGGTTTTGAAGTGTTTTTGGACAATGATTATATTTTAGGATTTCAGTTGATTTATAGGGAAAAAAAATAAGACCATTTTAATTAGATTTTTCAATGACGTCTTTTATGGTGAAAATGGATTACTTTTTTAAATTCTAATTAAGAATTAGAAGATTTTTATTAGTCAAACGTAAATTATTATAATTAAAAATGACCTATTACGTCATGATTAATAAGTACTCAATTTCAACTTGCTTCATGAATTAAGGAAATATAAGAATTAATGTCAAAAAAAAAAACAAAACAAAAACGGCACTGAGACTTAAAAGGAAGTCATGCACCAATAACTTTGATCTCGTGTTATAAAATAAAATCCATATATTTTTCGTATTATAGATAAGCTCTATGAAAAAGAAAAAGTATGATAGTGAAATAAAAGTAAATCAAAGTTAACATTATTAAAAAGAAAAAGAAAAACCCTACAATGTTATCGTAGGAAATATGATAAATTAAAATGGAAAATTAAGACACTAGCTTGATGAACATTTTTATTCCTTCTCAGGGAACCGTACGTGAGACTTCCGCTTTTGTTCTCCTGGTTAATTCCTATCTTCACAAATGTATTATTCTTTCTGATCTCAAGAGTGTGCCAATCAACCTTGAAGTTTGATGTAACCAGTACCTTTTCTGTACGAGATGGCGCATAGCTTCTGGTCTTTGACATCAAAAAAGAAGGTTGTAATAACGAAAGAGACATGTGAGAATTTGGTCCTAGCTAGTTCTTAACAGCGATGGCTATTCATTTAAGTCTTCGGGTAGCACCACTAGATCTTCAACAAGGTGGAAATTCCTAAAGTTGCGAGATTGAAAGGTCCGAAGGACTAAGCTTCACCCAGTACGCAACGCCGAAGGCAGGAATGAACCATACATAACAAAGCCTTACACATTAAAGTGATCACTACAGGGAAAAGGGTGCCAATGGTTCTGGTTGACAATGGATCGGCCCTGAACGTGTGCCCATTCAGTTGCTACGACCTGAGCTATGCAACAACGAGATCCCCCTTGATCCTTGCCGGATGTGCTTGACGGTCCCCCATAATACGCCTGTCTCTTATACACATCTTGCCCATTCAGTTGCTACGACCTGAGCTATGCAACAACGAGATCCCCCTTGATCCTTGCCGGATGTGCTTGACGGTCCCCCATAATACGCTTTCTTGAAAACTTGCTTCGGATATGAAAAAATGAGTATTTAGAGATGCTTTCGTTATTCCCAATAATATGGCTCGGTAACAGATCGCTTCTTCCAAAGCAACATGAAGAGATAAAGAAGCCATTGCAATTGCCGGAAATACGAGTAGAGTGCATAAGCCCCCTTAGAAATAGGGGCGAGCTGCAAGCAGCCCCTTGTATAGGGTTCCAAACCAATCAACCTAATAATAAGAAAGGGGCTTCCCGTTTTGTTTTAGCGCGCAGTGTACTAGTGAATAGGAAAAGCGGATTGAGATTCCACATGACGGATGGAGGTTGAGGATAGAACATGTTCGGTGCCTCGCCCTTGTCTCCTTCGCCTACGACTGCAACGAATGGTCATATTCTTGCTATCTCGAGTTGACCTACAACATAAACGCTATAAAATGGAAAACGGAGACCTTCGAATCTCTAATGTACCCGCATCTTTAATCGGTTTTTTTTCTGAGACTCATCAAAACTCGAGAGCTCGAACCCATAAATAGAATGAAATGAAATAATGGTGAGCCCGCTCCATCCCCGCAGGGGCAGAAAACCCATCGCTGTCTCGGCTGTGCTACCGGAGGCTCTGGGAATTTTATAAAAAATAACAAGAGAAATCTAATTTCTCTTAAGGGTCTTACTTTAGCCCTTCTTTTATTATTAAGGTTAGGGAGCTTTTCCTCTTTTGAGGATGTATTAATAATCTTGAAATATATYATATCAAGTCAATAGAATGTTGCGCATAGCCAGGTTACAGGGCTCGAGATAGCAGATCTATATTAACCTGTTTACCCTGCAGCATCCATCAGGGGGTTGGACAACTTTGTGATGATCGCCAAAGCTATGCGCCATCTTTACTCCGACTTCCTCTGTGTTGTCAAGGATCTACACACGCATAATGTCATAGCAGGCTTACGAAACTAAGTAGGACCTTTTGAATTGAATCTTAAGTAGTCTATCAGTGGTGCGAAGCTGCTTTGCTCCTTTTCAGTAGGGGAGCGAAAGGTTAGACCTTAGAAAGTCAACGAACAGCGGTTCTTCTATGTAGGTATGGCGTTCCCCCTTGACTTGACTCTCAATTTTTGATTGGATTAGTCAAAATGGAACCCGAATTCAGTTAATATTTTTCCCCCAAATCCTCATCCTCAACTGCGGAACCCCAACCATACTTTGGTCGAAACCTAACCAGATGGATAGACCTGTCTCTTATACACATCTCTCATCCTCAACTGCGGAACCCCAACCATACTTTGGTCGAAACCTGAATAATAATGAAAGGTCCTCTTTTTTTTGGAAAAAAACAACATATCAAATTTTTAGTAATGTAACAAAAATGATGCGCCCTTTTGTTACTATTCCCCATTTTGGTACTAAGAATACTTTTGCGTATCCCTATGAATCAGACACTCTATTACCCTGAACCAGGGCTTGCTGTGGGACTCCTCTGCCCCTTAAGAAAGTAAAGAATAACAATGGTCGGACACTCTATCCTGCTCCACCGGGAGCCTGGCCCCTTCTTCGATCGCCTAAAGGACCAGACCCGGAGCTGAGAACAAGATCGAAAGCGCAACTTCTCATTCGAAGCATGAAAGTGGTCAGGTCACAACAAGGGTGGCTGCTCACCCTCCGAATCTTCTGACCGCGTCATCCGGAAGAGAAAGACTTTTTTCTCCAGCGGGCTTTCTCTCGTAAAGCCAAAGACGCCCCAAGACAAGGTACAATTGTTGGGAAGGGGACATGAGAAATAGAACCTGGCTGGATTCGGGCTGGTCTCGTAGTTTTCTTGCTCGTTAGCGCTTTACTAATAACATAGAAAGAGGCAAGCCAAAACCAACTCCTAAAAAGTGGATCGGTCGAGACCATGTTGCGTAATCCCGTTAGCCAATGAAAGGACTACCTTTCTTGGACTGTGAGCGACGACACGTTTTCACTTTTTGTTTTGATAGTCTCAATTTGAAAGGAAAAATAGTCTCTATTGGACCGGGAGATAATCCTATCCGAACTGAACACGTTTCCAATACCGACTGCAGCTCCCCTCCCGCTCAGTCCAGTCCGGGAATCCTCTTCGTGATTTCCAAGAAGTGACAAAGAAAGAATAGGAGAAAGGACATGAACCGTGGTGGTGCTCTTCTACAGCTTCTTCAATTACATAGATAACAGCTCCTCCACTTCTGGAATTGATAAAGGAAACCTTTCCAAGCCCGTCAACTACACTCGCGGACGATTTATGCGCTGACTGAACTTGCTTCGTAGACAAGGCTCATTCCGTAGCATGCTTCGGGCGAAGCCGGGGTACGCTCCTGCTTACGAAAGACTACTTTCCAAGCGAATTACTGAAGAAAGACTACTGGGAGTGGGAATCAAGCTCCAGCCCTGACAGGGGTGGAGAATACCACTCTCTCAATAACAAGAAGAAAGTAGCAATTCTGTTTCCAATGGTTTGAGCTTGGAAGCAACCCGACCACCCTCTCCCCGCCCGAGAGTGAAAACACTACCCCTGAGGGTGGCCGTAGATCACGGGCCTCTAACTTATCTACGGAAAGGCTGCTTAAAGTACGTACACACAGGCAAGAGAGAGAACGCACAAGCGGTACGTACGATAAGAGCAAACTGTCTTATTGGCTATTACCGAATCGAAAGTGCTTAAACCTCTCTTCTTTCTGTCAGTCTACTTTACTGACTGAAAAACGGGAAGTCACTCATTCAAACCTCCCGCCCTCTCCAGTCAGGCGGGCGAAGCGCATTAATAGGAGCTTTCTTTGTTCTCATGTCAGAGTGAGGGGCCTTATCCATCCGCCAATAGAGCCGGCTTTTAGTGAAGATCCGCTCATATGCTGCATGAGGGGCGGGTTTTGAATTAGAGACGTTAAAAATGATGAATCAACGTCGACTATAACCCCTAGCCTTCCCACCGGAAGGCCTATGATATAGTGGTCGGCCTTTCGAATGCCTCCTTCCTTACTTTTCTGAGAGGCCCTTTACGACTATAAAGAAGAGGGGGCTGTTCACCTTTGTCAACTTAGCTATTTTAGTACTACTCAATACTAAAACAAAGGCTTTCGGGGCCCCGGCGCGGCGGGTCGCCTTTTGAATTCAGTAGATAGAAGAAACTATTATCGAGATAAAAACGAGAGAGTTGGACATGACCCATGGCCTTTCTCCTTTATTAGTGTATAAGGAAGGGTGTCACAGCGATGGCTATTCATTTAAGTCTTCGGGTAGCACCACTAGATCTTCAACAAGGTGGAAATTCTCGTATTCTGTATGTACATGTTCCTGCGGCTCGGATGAGTATTCTTGTTTATATCGCTACGGCTACAACAGCAGGTCTCAGCTCTGCACATTCCTAGAAATTTGTTCTTTCTTTCAGCTAAAGATTGTTATCATCTGGTATGAGAGTCCAGGTTATGCAGCCAACTCAAGTCAAGCGAAGCGTAGTGAGGAAGGAACTTTTCTTTGTTGAACCCTCTACGGTCTACCCTCTTTCTCGATATCCCAATTCTAGCGTTCGTTAGCTCTCTCTTTGATATCAATCACTTTTCTAAGAAAAATAAAATAGCAAAAATCATAAGAGAAGCAAGGTTCACAGAAGGTTGGGAAGTAGTACGCCCGGTTCACCAGGTTCTACCACAGCGGGGCCCAATCATACTCAAAAGAAGAGTTTGATCCTGGCTCAGAAGGAAYGCTAGCTATATGCTTAACACATGCGCAGAAGGATTTAACTCTTACAGAATTAATGAAAAGGGGAATATTGATTATCGAACCGGTTCGTCTGTCTGTAAAAAATGGCCTTAGATGGGGAAGATTCATTCATCGCTGTGGAATTTGATACCAGTTTCGACCCTTCGCTTGTTGACATACAAATGCGATGCTCTAACCTCTGAGCTAAGCGGGCTCACGGCTCTCTGCCCGCCTCCCCTTTATTGATAGGCTCGGTAGGCTAAGTAAGTACTTCCATTGGCCTGTACTTCTCTTGTTAGGCTCGCCTTAGAGGGAAGCACCCGCGCGAGCAGTGGTGGACGAAGCGGAAGCGAGAATGTCGGCTTGAGTAACGCAAACATTAGTGAGAATCCAGTCGTTTAGTTTAGCTTTCATTTAGGAGTGAAAAAGAACCTCTTGCTTCAGCTTCCCCGCTTATTATTGCTATCACCTCAACTGCTTTCGACCTGCTTACTTAGAATGAAGATAAATAATGGGCAGAAAGGCTTTACAAAAGTTCTAAAAACCTTCTCGGCGCAAAATCTTTGTCCTGTCCTAAAAAGATGGGCACGAAGACGAAATGAGAATAACGAGCGTGTGTGAATTGGGGAAAACTCACCCTTCGGCGGCAGGAAAGGAAGTTGACTTCGTTGACCCGGATTGAAGCAAAGACGCAATACACACGGAGGTGAATTAGTAGTAGTGCTGCTTGCTAACAATCTCTTTTGGAGCATCGCACCTACGGTCCAACCAATTGGGAGAGAATCAATAGATTCCTTTTCGGGAGCGATTCATCCTTCCCGAACGCAGCATACAACTCTCCGCCCAATCTTGAGTGAAATAAATACCGCGGCTTCGATCTTTTTCAACATACTCATCACGAAGTAAATCAACAAAGCCTCTTGAGAAGACTGCTTTCCTTTGAAAGAGCTGTGGGCATAGCTAAACTTTCTCAAATGCGGGATCGGGATTTCCTCTTGATGCGGTAGAAGAGGTCTAGTCTAGGTCATTTCTTTTGCTACTTGACTTTCTTACTTTTCCGGCATAAGAGGTCTTGTCTCTTTACTGTTTTAGCGGAATAAGCAGTCTTGGTGCTTTGGGCGTGGCACCTTTTTCATTATCATCTACCGCCCTTTCTTTCCTCCCGGCTATTCACGCATGAAGATCGTCGTATGTATGCTCGACTTCGGAGGGGGTTAAAAGACGGTGCATGAGCGAAGTAAGATCATCTTTTTTTGCATCCCATCGACAATATTCTTTGGTTTTGGTACATAACAACTTGCATAAGCAAAGTAGAATATTTGTTACAAATCTAGATCCTGCTAGACACTGCAAAGAACACATAATGAAAACAGCCTGGTAAGGGCTGTACAAGGGAACGAGAAAGGAGTTTGATAAAAAAGAGTTTGGGAGGAGAGCTTGCTTCGTGGCGGAGCATTTAGCAATGCCAGCAGCCTGGTGAGGGCTGGCTGTCTGGGGACAGGTTAAGGCAGGGCCCTCTGGGCTTGCTTCTCATGAGATTGGGTGAGGGAATCGGAAAGGGGCTCATAAACCGAGCTGACTTCTCTTGACCCTTGCTTCCTCTGAAGGGGGCCGATTTAGGCTCCTTCCCTCCCTACCGTCGTAAAATAAGAGCACCTGGCTCTGCCCACCCATCTAAGCCAGCCTTAGCCAGTGATCCATACACTGTCGATCCATACATAGCTTCTATACCTGGGTGACCCAGTCGCATATGCAGTAGCTCCAAATCGATACCCCAACCACGTGATCGAGACCTATACACCCCCCCTTCGTATGGTTCCAGGTCCAGTCCTTGTCGCAGCTCGTCCCCTCAAGCATTTTGCTTGGAAAAAACCGTTGCCGAAGAAACTTCATGTTTACCATTGTCACTGACTCATACATTCCCATAAAGAGGTACAGGGGAGTCTCCCATCTTTCTCATGCAGACTCAATGTCTCCCCCGGAACAGGTTTCGAGATAAGCCAATCGGTCTGCAAACAAGAGTTGGACAGCTTGACCTCTCTCTCTATAAGAACGGTGCGTTCCAAGGTGTGAAGTGAGAGAGAAAAGTGGGAGAGAAGGGGTTTCATAATTGGGAGGTGTAGCCGCAATAGCACCAGTTTTTATATGTCTGTTGGCTTTACCTTTTTTTAAAAGTATGTATGTGCGTAGTTCAAGTTTTCGCCCTATTCACCAAGGACTATTTTGGTTGCTTTTGGCGGATTGCTTACTACTAGGTTGGATCGGATGTCAACCTGTGGAGGCACCATTTGTTACTATTGGACAAATTTCTCCTTTTGTTTTCTTCTTGTTCTTTGCCATAACGCCCATTCCGGGACGAGTTGGAAGAGGAATTCCTAATTCTTACACGGATGAGCCCTAGCCCTGTAAGCTCACACCTCCGTTCCGTCAGGGTCAGAGGAGGTTCCATTTGCTCCATTTCCATATAGCTGACGGTGTGTGCCCATCCAACTCTCCCTCTAAGCGGGCATCCAGAAGTCTACTTTTTCCATTTGGCCCATATGAAAACGGGTAGGATTTGCGCACAGGTCTGGATCTTGAATCGGATGATGAATTCTCTTCTGGAAAAGGAACTACAACCTATGCCCACTAAAACCCACCGAGGGAGATTGTTGTGATCACTTTTCTTGTGTGAATCTTTCTTTCATACCACCAGGAAGCCTAGCTTTCACAAATAAACAAGGGGAAGAAAGCAAAAAGGATGTGACTATATATATATATAATTTTTTTTTTATAATATCTATGTTTTTCATAATATATATGAAACTCGGAGCCGAATTTTAAAATATTTTTAAACAAAATTCGTAAGAATTGAGCCAAAAATGTTGAATGAAAATATAAAAAGTTAGGAGCACAAATGGATATATGTGAATGAAATGACTGAAAGAAGACTCGAATAAAGTGGACAGGTGAAATGAACTACAAATTTTCTGTCCCTTTAATCATCCTTTTTTTCTGGACCCCTCTTTTCGAGCACAATGCTATCAAGTTTGAATATTATTAACCGAATTTATGAAAAATAATAAATTGAAGTTTAAAGAGAAAAAAAATAAAAAACAAAAATTCGTCATCATTGGTTAAGTTATGAAATGCCTTTTTAGTTGTAAGGGTTTATTAATGTTATCTATCTAAATGCTGACAACCAAAAAAAATTGACAATTTAAAATTTTTTAACAATATATACAAATTATTTATCTTTCTGCATTTCTCTCATTGTACTCATCAAAAATTTAATCATAGGTGCTAAGTGGTGTGGTAACTACACATAGATATATTTTTTAACTTAATATGAGTTAAACATATTGTATAGTTGGTTAAAAAAAAACATATAGAAGAGTAGAATATTCCTGAAATTCGTGTGAAATTCGTCAACTTATTTTCATTTTATTAATAGTTAATACGTGACTCCTCCATCTTCATCATTACATATTTGATAATTAACGGAAAAAAATGCATATATATATATATATAGATTCAGAATCAAATATTTTCCTTTATTAAATGAGAATCTTAAATATTATATGAACTCGTGTTGTTTTTCAAATCCAATGAATTTTATAAGATTGCGAGGACTTGCGAGAAAGCTTTCGGAGAAATCGATAAATTTTGAGAAATTTGCAACTGTTGTTGGAACATTTTTTTCGGAGTTTGGAGAACAATTGGCTAATATCTTTCAACTAAATTTGGTTAAAGTGTAGGAAATATATATTGGATTATGTTCTTATATTTCAAGAAATATGAAAGGATTTTTAAGTTTCTTGAAAGACTAAATAATATGGAAAAACTATTGTTTTTTATGGCTGAAATAGGAGATTTTACTAAAAGATAGAAGTACAATCAATTAAAAATTATATCTCTAGCTAATTAGCATAATTCATCGAGTAAAATACTTTGCTCATTCCCACAAATTTTCATTTAATAATTAGGATAATAGTACTGATTTAATTATAAAGGCATAAGAATTGTACTAAAAAAACATAAGAATTCTGTTTTAATATTAGTTAAATTATAAATTTAACCAATCCATTTTGTAACTAATAAATTTTTAAACTTTAAAGTTTAGAGAGTATTTAATAATTTCTAAAACTCACAGTTTTGTATTTAATAAGTTCATCAATTTTCAATTTTGTATTTAATTATTTAATAAGTTAAATTATGCTCAACTTTAATATTATAACAAATATATATTTTGTCCAAAGCGAGCATAATTGACATATATTTTCAACGAATAGGTTGTACATTTAATCCCTTATGTATTTCAAAATATATCACCTGTATTAAAAATTTTCAAATATAGTAAAAACTTTCACTTATAACAGTAATATACCGTATACTTATATCAGTAGTAGTATATCAAACACTTATATCAGTAGTATATTAAATGTATATTGCACATACACTCATATTAGATCATATGTATATCACATACATATTGAAATATATCACACACTTATATCAGTAATATATCAGATGTATATCAATAGATATATTACAAATACTTTACAAGTGTATATAATTTGAATGAAATTGTCATTTCAAAATTGGAACTTAGTTTTTTTTTCATGTTTGAAAAAACTAAATGTTGTTGCTATTTTTGCTAATTTTACAAAATATTTTTACCTTGCTATTGCCCCAATTTTTAATCTATGAAGGAAATTGATTTTTTTTAAAAAAATTTTTAGGTGCAACAAATGTTTTTGAGCGAGCAATATAATCAATGGCATATTTAATTCATAAAATTTATGTCAGTATTAGCACCTAATTAAGATGAAACTTTTTGCGAGATTAGAAATTCAAATCACAATCTATCTGTATTATAGATGTACTAAAAAAATTCATAAAATTTTTTGGTCTCAAGAAAAAAAAACAGAAGTTCATGAAATTTATATTTTTAATTTCACTTAAAAAGAAGAAATTGAACCTCTACAAAATAATAATAATAATAATAAATAAATAAA